GGTAAGTCTCGAACTTAGATTAAAACAACATAAATAACCCAAAAGACTAACCCAAAAGGATTCTTTCAGGTATACAGAAGTAAGATCAGGGACAAGATAGGCCCACTCAAAAGTTCCTCGGGTCAGCTCACTGACAGTGATAAGGAAATGTGTAGAATTTTTAACACATACTTCCTCTCAGTTTTTACACAGGAGGATACCAGCGATATTCCAGTAATGATAAATTATGTAGAACAGGACGATAATAAACTGTGTACTATTAGGGTCACAAGTGACATGGTCCTTAGGCAAATAGATAAATTAAAACCTAACAAATCCCCAGGCCCTGATGAACTGTATGCAAGGGTTCTAAAGGAATGTAAAGAGGAGCTTAGCACACCTTTGGCTAATCTTTCAACATATCACTACAAACTGGCATGGTGCCAGATAAGTGGAAAATGGCAAATGTGATACCTATTTTCAAAACAGGTGACAGGTCCTTAGCTTCGAACTATAGACCAATAAGCCTAACCTCCATAGTGGGAAAATTTATGGAATCAATAATTGCCGAGGCAGTTCGTAGCCACCTTGAAAAGCATAAATTAATCAACGAATCTCAGCATGGTTTTTACAAAGGGGCGTTCCTGCCTTACGAATTTATTAACTTTTTTCACTAAGGTATTTGAGGAGGTAGATCATGGTAATGAATATGATATTGTGTATATGGACTTCAGTAAGGCTTTTGACAGGGTCCCACATCAGAGACTATTGAGGAAAATTAAAGCACATGGAATAGAGGAGAAATTTTTTCCTGGATAGAGGCATGGTTGACAAATAGGCAGCAGAGAGTTTGCATAAATGGGGAGAAATCAGAGTGGGGAAGTGTCACGAGCGGTGTTCCACAGGGTCAGTGTTGGGCCCCCTGCTGTTCACAATCTACATAAACGACATAGATGAGGGCATAAAGAGCGACTTCAGCAAGTTTGCCGATGACACCAAAATAGGCCGTCGAATTCATTCTGACGAGGACATTCGAGCACTCCAGGAAGATTTGAATAGACTGATGCAGTGGTTCGGAGAAGTGGCAGATGCAGTTTAATATAGACAAATGCAAAGTTCTAAATGTTGGACAGGACAATAATCATGCCACATATAAACTAAATAATGTAGATCTTAATATTACGGATTGCGAAAAAGATTTAGGAGTTCTGGTTAGCAGTAATCTGAAACCAAGACAACAGTGCATAAGTGTTCGCAATAAAGCTAATAGAATCCTTGGCTTCATATCAAGAAGCATAAATAATAGGAGTCCTCAGGTTGTTCTTCAACTCTATACATCCTTGGTTAGGCCTCATTTAGATTATGCTGCACAGTTTTGGTCACATTATTACAGAATGGATATAAATTCTCTGGAAAATGTACAAAGGAGGATGACAAAGTTGATCCCATGTATCAGAAACCTTCCCTATGAGGATAGACTAAGGGCCCTGAATCTGCACTCTCTAGAAAGACGTAGAATTAGGGGGATATGATTGAGGTGTATAAATGGAAGACAGGAATAAATAAAGGGATGTAAATAGTGTGCTGAAAATATCTAGCCTAGACAGGACTCGCAGCAATGGTTTTAAGTTGGAAAAATTCAGATTCAGGAAGGATATAGGAAAGTACTGGTTTGGTAATAGAGTTGTGGATGAGTGGAACAAACTCCCAAGTACCGTTATAGAGGCCAGAACGTTGTGTAGCTTTAAAAATAGGTTGGATAAATACATGAGTGGATGTGGGTGGGTGTGAGTTAGACCTGATAGCTTGTGCTACCAGGTCGGTTGCCGTGTTCCTCCCTTAAGTCAATGTGACCTGACCTGACTAGGTTGGGTGCATTGGCTTAAGCCGGTAGGAGACTTGGACCTGCCTCGCATGGGCCAGTAGGCCTTCTGCAGTGTTCCTTCGTTCTTATGTTCTTATGTTCTTATAGCATTAGAACTGGACAAGATTCCAATGCTCTATTTATTCATGTGAGAGACTTTAACCATCCAATTGGTTTTGAAAAAATTGAGAAAGTTGTATCAAGCAAGTCCATGGTTGACAGAAATATAATTAAATCTTGTTTCATAAAAAGCAGTTTTGAAAATAATATGAATATTTCCTTAGGTTTGTATAAATTAGATTCATTTATAATTAATAAAATTTGGTTAGAGTTTAATAATACATTGGACAAATAATAAACCTTATTTCTTGGGTAGAATGATTTGTTGGTGGGATGTCGTGAGGACCAGTCTAGTTGGACCAGCGGACCTACTCCAGTGCTCCTCTTTTCTTATGAGTCCGGTATTGTCCCGCGTCAGGTGTTTCTTTGTTGTGGGAGTTGACTGTGAGGTGTGGTCTAAGCCCTTTAATTGCCTTCCTTTGATGTATTACTTTCATAGTTCCTTGACGATGTGATTAGTCACGAAAGCGCTTGGAATTTCACTACTCTTTCACAGTGGTTGTTTTGTATATATAATATATATATATATATATATATATATATAAAATATATATATATATATATAATATATATATATATATATATGTGTGTGTGTGTGTGTGTGTGTGTGTATATATCCCTCACAATAGATTACAAGAAATTTTGTGAAGTGGCTGATGCTGAAAAGCTCTGTTCCACAAGGCACAGTACTCGCTCCCATCTTGTTTCTCATCCTCAAATCCGACATAGACAAGGATGTCAGCCACAGCACCGTGTCTTCCTTTGCAGATGACACCCGAATCTGCATGACAGTGTCTTCCATTGCAGACACTGCAAGGCTCCAGGCGGACATCAACAAAATCATTCAATGGACTGCAGAAAACAATATGAAGTTCAACGATGAGAAATTTCAATTACCCCGATATGGTAAACATGAGGAAATTAAAACTTCATCAGAGTACAAAACAAATTCCGGCCACAAAATAGAGCGAGAAACCAACGTCAAAGACCTGGGAATGATCATGTCGGAGGATCTCACCTTCAAGGACCAAAACATTGTATCAATCGCATCTGCTAGAAAAATGACAGGATGGATAATGAGAACCTTCAAAACTAGGGATGCCAAGCCCATGATGGAACTCTTCAGGTCGCTTGTTCTATCTAGGCTGGAATATTGCTGCACACTAACAGCACCTTTCAAGGCAGGTGAAATTGCTGACCTAGAAAATGTACAGAGAACCTTCACGGCGCGCATAACGGAGATAAAACACCTCAATTACTGGGAGCACTTGAAGTTCCTGAACCTGTACTACCTGGAACGCAGGCGAGAGATATACATGATTATATACACCTGGAAAATCCTAGAGGGACTAGTACCGAACTTGCACACGAAAATCACTCACAACGAAAGCAAAAGACTCGGCAGACGATGCAACATCCCCTCAATGAAAAGCAGGAGTGCCACTAGCACGTTAAGAGACCATACAATAAGTGTCAGGGGCCCCTGACTGTTCAACTGCCTCTCAACATACATAACAATAGACATACCAATAGACCCTTGGCTGTTTTCAAGCAGGCACTGGACAAGCACCTAAAGTCGGTACCTGACCAGCCGGGCTGTGGCTCGTACGTTGGATTGCATGCAGCCAGCAGTAACCGCCTGGTTGATCAGGCTCTGATCCACCATGAGGCTTGGTCAGAGACCTGGCCGCGGGGGCGTTGACCCCCGGAACTCTCTCTAGGTCTCCAGGTAAACTCCAGGCAAGGCTTGACGTTATTAGATTATATATAATTCCATGTTTGTGGAAAATTAATTTCTCAAAGGGGTAGTACGATGCTGAATACATAACTAGGAATAATCAGTGAGCTTGCATCATTGCACTCCATCTTTTGCAACCTCTCGGTAAATAAATGGACAAACACGTTACCTAATAATGTTAAATTAGCCCATCTCTCTTACCAGTCCCAGTCATCAACACTCCTTCCAGGGATCAATGAAGGGGTCATCATCTTAGACAAGTATGAAGACTAAGTTTCCTGACGAAGAATATTCATACACATATATACAAAATGAGTATATTACTATTGTATAATAAAGCAGTAAATACCACCCTTAGCTGTGACCTGTCACTCCCCAGCAAAAGAGCAAATGGGACACTGATTGCCGGACGGCAATCATTCACTCTGCAGCCATGTTGCTGTATAATGATGATGCTACTACTACTACTAATAAAAAATATCATTATTATTATTATTATTATTATTATTACTATTATTATTATTATTATTATTATTATTATTATTATTATTATTATTATTATTATTTGCATATTGGTATAGGGTAGCGTTAAACCCATGGGGATCATATAGCACTCGGAAAATGGGAAGATATAAGGTTCGATCAAAGGTAGGGGAGGCTAGGTCAAATTTCTGGGATCGAGGGGCCCTTCACCGGTATCAAGGATGTTGCATACTGTAAAGTCATTAGCAGTACCTCCACTTTCCCTTCACTTGCCTGAAGGAGTCATTGAACGGGTTATTAACTGAGACACTTCTCAGGGCGCCGTTTCCTGACGAGGATATGCATTGATACATTACATATACAAGAACAATTTCTAGCTTGATGAAACATATAGGTTCATTTTGTGATTTCCTTTCTTGGTCACTCGAAGCATTCAGTTGAGCACGGGTGGCCAATGGTTGCTTCTGCCATGGTCCACCACGGAGCCCTCGGCTACTCTAATTTCACACGTGTTCTTAAACATCATTGTTAAGCGAGGCCTAAGTAAGAGGAGGGGGGGGGGCACTACTGAATCTTACGATTTTTTCTCTGACGATTAGGAAAACAAAAAAAAAATCATCTGTAAGAAAGGAAATCTCACATTTAAGTTACACCTTGTTCATGTTTGTGTTAGTTTCTTTACTTCGGCTGTTTACCTTTCATTTAGTTTCACTCAAAATATGTTCAGTATCTGATGATACATGTTTTATGTCTGATGAAACGTGTCTCACCCATGTTGGAAATGTGTCTCACTACTACCTCAAACGTAATTATTACCTGAGGAACACCTGATCCATGCTAGTGAGGGATAGGCCTAGATGTCGAATACCGAGCTGCTCCTTACGGCTGGTGAGGGCGTCGAGGAGTTGGGCGTACTGGGCTGTGGTGGGTGGGAGTTTGAAGGTGACCTCACTGCCCTGCGCTGAGCGGAGGATAGCTGAGGGCAGGTGCTGGTTCACCTCCCTCCTCACTTCCCTTACCTTGCTGCCTTCAGACAATATCACCGTCAGGGTGTAGCCATCACCTGCACACACGAACCAGGACGATATTGACGATACGTCAAATAAGTACAATATTTTAGTAGTAGGGAAGGCGGCTGTATAGCTCGGAAGTAACACCTAGGTGTTACTTCCGGTTTCCTACTTCCTACCCCTACATATGTGCAACATCTGGGTATCTTTATTGTAGACGTTTCGCCATCCAGTGGCTTTATCAATACAAATTCTAGGACATAACTTGAAGACAGTAGGACTATATACAGAAGATGAGGTAATCAGTCCCTCAACCTTGGAGTAGGTGTGAAGAGCACCGTAGTCGTGGAGATTCTGAAGCAGAAGAAAGGAGCCTGGCGCTTATATAGTAACGTCAGGTGTAGCCTACCAGTGACTATGCCCTCGTCTGCTACACCTGACGTTACTATATAAGCGCCAGGCTCCTTTCTTCTGCTTCAGAATCTCCAAGACTACGGTGCTCTTCGCACCTACTCCTAGGTTGAGGGACTGATTACCTCATCTTCTGTACATAGTTCTCCTGTCTTCAAGTTATGTCCTAGAATTTGTATTGATAAAGCCACTGGATGGCGAAACGTCTACAATAAAGATACCCAGATGTTGCACATGTGTCTTAATTTCATCTTGTCGGTATTATACACCATTCTTGTACCCCTACATAGATGTGAAATTTCACACCTTTATGCTAATGGCACTGATCTCACCCTCGACCACCTCGCCCGCGCCCCCCACGCCACCCACGCCCCCCGCGCCCCCCCGAGCCCCCCGCACCCCCACGCCCCCGCCCGCGCGCCCGCCCGCGCGCCCACCTGTGCCCCCCGCCCACGCGCCCGCGCCCGCGCACCCACCCGCGACCGCCCCCACTCGCGCGGCCCCTGCAGCGCCTTCTGCAGCGTCGTCCGGATCGTCCCCACTCCCCGAATTTTTTTCCGATTTTTTTCGATTTTTTTTTAATTTCATTTTCTTGTGCTCTCCATCTCCTTGGATCAACACACTCCCCCACACCTAGCACCATCCACTTCTACCCTCTATGTCTAAATATTCCTGCTCTACTTCCTCGGATCAAGACCTCCCTCTCCATCCCCCCAAATATTTTTTATTTTTTTTCGGTTTTCTTGCAATCTCTAACTCCTCGGATCAACACCTCTCTCTCACCCACACCTCCCACTTCCACCCCCATCCCAAAATCCCTGCTTCACCTCCTCGGATCTAGATCACCTATTTAACTATTTAACTATTTCATCAGAAAAAGTCACCACAACACTTACAACTTATAACCACTTTTCGATAAATTCACTAGTCACAATTTTACATATTACGAAGTTAATACACACACACACACACACACACACACACACACACACACACACACACACACACACACACACACACACACACACACACACACGCACATGCACGCACACACATACTTTTTCTCAATAACTGTTAACAAATGTTCTCTCATCAACATCCTTTAACCCACTACAGAACAACCCCAGATTGCTTTGAGCACCATCAAAACATTCTCATACATCATTTGAAGACGGCCAAATCAAAACTGAATACTCCCAGAACACCTTCAGAAATACTCTTGCACATCATTTGAACACCTTTGAATAGTCTCAAACACCATTTGAGTACTCCCAAATACACCACTGAATACTACCAAAACACCACCAAAATCACCATAAATTAAGATCAACATCGCCATCTAACACCCATTTTCACACAAATTCCCTCAAATCACTATAACCAAGACGATTACCAATTTCTATGATTACACTCACCTCCAACTAAGACATAACATGTGCGCAAAAAACAAGAACACAACAGGATCACCTCTTTTCGGCATCTCTAGTTCGACAACAGCACCCACGACACAACACCCACATCCCATAACACCCATAGCCCACAACACCCACAACAACAACCCACAACTTATAACCTCTTTTCAGCATCTCTAGTTCGACAACACCCACAGCACCCACATCCCACAACGTCCCACAACCCACAACACCCACAACAACAACCCACAACTTATAACATCTTTTTTGGTATCTCTAGTTCGACAACAATACCCACAACCTTCATCACTTACCATTTTATTCACAATGTTTCCTCTTTCGATACAAATTTTTCCCCTTCTTTTTACTAAATCTTAAATGTAACGCACATTCCCCCCTACAATCACTAAAATTCTAATAAAATCCTCTCCATACCCATCTCCTTTTATCCACATAGATTAATATTATACTCACAACAACTAATCATCTCACTACACAACTACTGCGGCATGTTTCTACAACCTCCAAGTCCCAGGTATTGGGGATTCACCCTCCAATCTTTTCCAATGTATCATAACTTTTCACTTCTATAATTTCTTTTAAAATATTCATACTTTTCCTTTATTTTCAGTAAAATCCCCAATATTTCATTAAATTTCTAATACAACCCTCCCCATACCCCTCTCCATCTCACCCACATTTCTTCACATCCACTCACCCATCTCCCAACACTCCTCTTCTGAACAAACACAAAAATCACATTTCACATCCACAAATCCATCTCATCACCCATCTCAAATCCACTAAAATCATTGTAACCAAGATATTCAACAAATTCTATGACCACCTAACACACACACACACACACACACACACACCACACTTTACTTTGAACACCTTCAAAACACTCTCATACATCATCATTTGAAGACCACCTTTTCTCAGTATTTCTTAAGAAATATTCTCTCATGAACAACCTTTATCATCTCACTACAGAACAACCCTAGATTACTTTGAACATCATCAAAATACTCATAAATCATTTGAATACTCACAAAAACACCATAGAACATTTCCAGAGAACACTGAAGCACTTCCAAATTGCATTAGAACATTTCCAAGACATCGTTGGAACACTTTCAAAATATCATTTTGAATACTCCCAAATAAGATTTGAAATCTCTAATTCATCTACACTTACACATTTCATTAACCGAAATTACAACTCTCCAGACTGTACAACATTATCACAAAAACTAACTCATACACTTATGTCATGAGACATTTACCAAAACTAACACACACACACACACACACACACACACACACACACACACACACACACCGCAATTTACTTTGAACAACACCAAAAACACCATCAATTACCTTTGAATACTCCAAAAACATAATTTGAATACATTCAAAAACATCATCAAACTCCTTTGAATACTCCCAAAACATCTCTGAATACTACCAAAACAGCACTGAATACTGCCCAAACACCACTAAAAATCACCAGAAACTAAGATCAACACCACCACCTATCACCCATTTTATGGAAATCCCCTCAAATCATTATAACCAAGACGATCCCCTCACCTCAGACTATTAAATAACATGAGCGCAAAAAAAAAAAAATTCTCATAAATCATTTTGAATAGTCTCAAACACCTTTGAACATTTCAAAACAACACTGAAAAACTTAAAACAGGATCACCACCAACTGACATCCATCAACTAACATCCATCAACTAACATCCATGATCACTCACCTCAAAGCCACCAAGATCGCAGAAAACACTCATTTTTTATAAATATTCACACAAAAATCACAATCACCAACTCCTTACAATATTTGCCAATATCTAATACACTCACCTCACTACCACCAACACATGCCGGCACAGATAGTGACACCTCCCATGACGTCACACTCCAACCTGTGTTTACTTGGTGATCAGTAACGTCACACCCAAACACCTTGTTTCAACCTGTTTTATCTCCAATATCTAAGATCACCACAATCAAGACGGTTACCAAATTTTATAACCCCACCACTAAGATCACTAAAACAAAACACATTTTTGTGCGCATTCTCTTAAAACATCATAACCAAGATCACTAAAAACTAAGATTGTTTACGTCAAGATCACGAAAACTATTTATACTTTTACTAAGATCACATAACATTTTGTCTTCTCTAACTCACCCACCAATTTACATTCTCATTCACACTTACACATTTCATTAACCGATATTACATCCCATCCACCAAACTCCTCCCTCATTCTCCAGACTTTACAACATTAGCACAAAAAAAAAAAAAAAATCATACACTTACCTTGAACCAACTTTGAACAACACCAAAAAACCACTGAACATCTTCAAAATACTCTGCACATCATTTGAACACCTTCAAAAACACCATCAAACACCCTCGAATACTCCCAAAACACCACTGATTACTACCAAATCACCACTGAATACTGCCAAAACATCATCAAAATCACCAGAAACTAAGATCAGCATCACCAGGTAACACTCATTTTATAGAAATCCCCTCAAATCACTATAACCAAGAACTCCCTCCCCATCCCCTCTCCCCCATGAGCGCAAAAAAAAAAAAAAAAAAAAAAAAACATGAACACAAACCTAATACACCTAATTCTGGTGATTTTGATGGTGTTCTGGCAGTATTCAGTGGTGATTTGGTAGTAATCAGTGGTGTTTTGGAAGTATTCGAAGATGTTTGATGGTGTTTTTGAAGGTGTTCAGATGTGCAGAGTATTATGAAGATGTTCAGTGGTGTTTTGGTGTTGTTCAAAGTTGGTTCAAAGATAATCTGTGTGTTAGTTATAGTAATGTCTCATGTCATAAGTGTGTGAGATAGTTTTTTTTTGTGCTAATGTTGTAAAGTCTGGAGAATGAGGGAGAAGTTTGGTGGATGAGATGTGATATCGGTTAATGAAATGTGTAAGTGTGAATGAGAATGTAAATTGGTGGGTGAGTTAGAGAAGACAAAATGTTATGTGATCTTAGTAAAAGTATATATTGTTTCAGTGATCGTGACGTAAGCAAACTTAGTTTTTAGTGATCTTGGTTATGATGTTTTAAGAGAATGTGCACAAAAATGTGTGATGTTTTAGTGATCTTAGTGGTGGGGTTATAAAATTTGGTAACCGTCTTGATTGTGGTGATCTTAGACATTGGAGATATAACAGGTTGAAACA